CACATGGTGCCACTCCCTGACCGGTTCCAGCAAGCCAAGGTCAGCCATCAGACGTTCCACCAGAATGCGCCTGGTCTGGTCCGGCAATTCCAACTCACCCGTGACCAGGCCAAGGCCATTGTGGCCACATGTCCCCAGTGCCAAAACCATCAAATGCCTGCACTCAGTGCTGGGGCAAATCCCCAAGGGCTTCATAGCTGTGAGGTGTGGCAAATGGACGTCACAAAGATCCCAGAATTTGGTAGACTAAGGGATGTGCATGTATCGGTGGACACCTTTTCTGGCACCGTCTATGCCTCTGCCCACGCAGGGGAGAGGGCAAAGGATGTAATCAACCACCTCATCCATGCCTTCTCTGTGTTGGGAGTCCCTAAGGTTTTAAAAATGGACAATGCTCCCGTGTATGGATCCAAGGAGCTCAGGAGCTTCCTACAGCAATGGGGAGTGGAGCACATGACCGGCATCCCCCACTCCCCCACAGGTCAGGCCATAGTTGAGAGGACCCACCAGAGGCTGAAGAATATCCTCGAACACCAACGAGCAGCAATGAAGGCGGAGTCCCCTCATATCCAGCTGGCACAGGCATTGTTCATGCACAATTTTCTGAATTGTGCGTTTGAGAACCTGAACCCTCCCATCACCCGGCATTTCAAGACCAACCCTCAGCTGGAGCTGAAAGAGAAGCCCCCAGTCCTTATAAAAAACCCAGAGACCTGGTAATTGCAGGGACCGTACGAACTTATTTCTAGGGGGCGGGGGTATGCATGCATTGTGACTCCAACAGGGTTAAGATGGGTGCCTGCCAAGTGGGTGCGCCCCTACATCACCAAACCAGTCCAGGCCGTACCAATCAGACAAGTTGAGAACGTCTGCTGGAGAAGAAGGCGACGGACCAATTCAATTTAAGTTACCCCTTATTAATCTTCTCTTTTTACATTTATTTTACAGCCTCAGCCCGAGACCATCCTAAAAACATCATGGACCTCAAACACCTGGTCTTCCTGCTCTGCCTCACCATCCCCAGCTCTGCATGGATTGTTCCCCAGCTGACTAATAATGTCTGGAAGACGTTGGCATAAGCCCTTGGACAGGATAATATCTGCCTGTCCACCTCCTCCACTGCTGACCCTTTCCTATCCTGCCTTGTGAGGATCCCATATAAACTTAATGAGTTTCCCTTCACCTTCCCAAACCCTACAGCCTCTCCCAGCAGGAAAACCCGCTCCTTCACTGTCCGACAGCTAGATGCGTGGAGGAGTTGGGTCAAACTGCTCCCCCCAATGAAAGACAACCCCCAAGAGCTAGATTAACTCAGATCCTCCCCCGCGTATACCTCTATCCACTTTGATGTCACCCCTGACCCCCAGGCCCGGCCAGATATTGAGATCAAACAGTTTAATCAGGCGTATACCGCAAAAGAATGGTGCCAACGTGTGATCAAGATCCCTATGCTTTCCACCCCCGACAACCGACCCCATGCCCTTCCTAAAGGTACCTTCTTGATTTGCGGCACCCGGGCCTGGACTGGCATCCCCCCTCATCTTATTGGAGGCCCTTGTACTTTCAGACAGTTGAGCTTGTTTACCCCCAACCAGACCCAAACTGCGCATTGGCAAACACTTAATGAGACTTCCCGATTGGCCCGACCAAAGAGAGACACAGAACTCACTAATCTGGACGAAAATTGCAACTCTGAAATTATTCATTGGTCAAACCCAAAAGGCGTGGCCACCATTGCATTTTTACCATGGGTGGCCATTGCTCATGCCTTCAGAGAATTGGCAGGCCTGGAGTGCTGGGTGGTAAAACAAGCCAATGTTACGTCAACTGCGCTTGCTGGACTCCTATTAGATGAGGAGATAACAAGGCAGGCAACCCTCCAAAATCAGGCGGCCAACGATTTCCTCCGACCACTACATGATCATTCTTGTGAGGAGTTTGTGGGCTTGTGCTGCATGAATTTAACATCCAAGGCTGGGGATGTCCGAAAGGCAATCAACAAGATGCAGGATGGGATAAAAGACATCAAGAAGGAGACTGGGGATTGGTTGAGTGACTTAGTGGGGAATTGGGGCATCTCGGGCTGGGCCACCTCTATTATTCGTTCTGGTTTGTTAATTCTATTTTTTCTTATTTTAGCCCTCATTATTTTTGGGATTCTGAGACGGGTAGTGTCTGGCCTCATCACAAAGGTGTTAACCATCCACACCGCGAACCCAGCTGCCCTCTTCTCTGCCCAGGAGTCTGATGGGGATGAAGAAGACCAGCTAGTTCCAGAACCCGAAGAAGGACCCTGGATGGAGATGGCTCCCACCTGCCAGCCGTGGTTCGCTGACACCTATCCGGACTCGGAATTCCTACCGCGACCCGAATTTAGTTCATTTAAAAAATACTTTAAAGGACTCTTTCTTCAGTTTTTCGTTTTGTTTAAAATAAAGAAGGGGGAGTTGTTGGGTCGTGTTTTAAGTTCCCCCCATGTTATGGTTGTTCCCTCTTCCCCTCTTTATGTTAAATGGTCCATCCCTCCTTCTCCTCCTCCCCCTCCGCCTGTCAGTCTTCCCTTTCCCCTCCCATGTGATGTAACTTTATGCTGAGTCATTTCCCTGACCCCACCCTGGGGCTTGTCTGTCACCCTGAGGCCTCTCCCTCCTTTCCAGAACCTTCCAGCTAAGGCCTCGGGTGATGGGCTGATCCCCGGGGACCCCTCCCTCCTTCTCACCTCACTGGACACCCCTCCTGATTGTCATTCCCTTCACCACTCCCAGGTGGTTCCCTATTGGTTCACTATTGTTCCCTCCCTGTGTTGCCACCCCCTGTTATATACCCATGCAAGCTGTTCTCAGTTGCCTTTTGGGGCGTACCCGATTCAAGTTGAGGTTAGTCTTGTGGACCAATAAACTTGGAGCTGTGATACCCCCAAAAGGACGACTCCCTCGTCTTTGTCAAGGTCGCCTAAGGTCCTTTACTGGTCTGGTGCATCTCAGCCTGCCGGTCACGTCCCTCTCCTGCAGTGGTCATAGGGAGTGGCTGTTGTTGTCAGCCGTGCCGAACACCTGAGCTGGCCGCAGACCAAAGAGGCACTACTAGCTGCACCTAATGTCCAACATTTATATACCCTAAATCAGAGATCTCTGAAAGCAGAGCAGGAGACACCTGATTTCCAGAGATGCCGGACTTTTCGGAGTTTTCACCAAATCAACAGGACACTTAAGTTCATGTGATCTCTGAAAGTCAAGTCTACCTCAAATTAGATGTTGAACAATAGAAAAAGAAAAGCACTGTAAACCTCTCCAAATTTACCTATAAAAGGTTTTGCAGTAGAAAACAGCTTAAGTCACTGCATAAAAAGCTGCCAAATGACTAAAATCAACTGACCAAAAAAAGAGAAAAGCTTCCCTCTGGATAACATTCAGCCATAGCATTTTCAATTAACTCTTTCAGAACCCACCAACAAAACAAGTTGGTGAGTTAATTTGCATGCAGGAAGTTTTAATATAGTAATATTCCTTTGAGCAAGGTAGCCAGGGTGTGCAATGCAGAACTTTCTCAGCATGCAGAGTCCAACTGCCCAGAATACCATCTCTTTCAATTTCCTAAATACTACATCTAGTCCTTTTCACACACTTGCCTAAAAGTTCCCTGTTGCTCCCTGAGGTTCTCAGTTAATAGACATATCAGTGTAATCTGAGTGACACTGTTACCCAACACAGATGGGTTCTCTTGGGGATATTGGCCGAGTGAGTATGGCACTAAACGATAGGTACAATTAAAACTTTGTTTTCTTAACAGGATGTTATAATTGATATAGAAGAGAATTTCTTATTAGAATGGCACAGGATTTCTACAAGCAGAGTCAACATAGTATAATCTGTAACTAGCATGGTAAGGAATTTATAATACAATTTAACTTATAATTTCTAATCACCTGAACTCTGCAGCTCAGGTCAGATCCCAATCCATGGATTCTTGTGTCAGTATTACAATCAAAATCTCGAGGGGCTGGGGAACCAGAAGTTGCAGGGGCTGTCTGGGAAGGCACAGCAGGGCTTGGCAGCCAGGACCACCCAGCCACCACAGCCAGGTCAGCCCAGGATATCAGAAACCTCCCTGGGGACAACAAAGAGCAGGCTGGGACATGGGACCAGGGTGGAGCTGGCTTGGCCACCAGGCACTCACATAATGTGAATGTGAGTTTGCACATGTATACCAAGCTACTAAGATGTAGGTATGCTCAGATCTAAATCTGTGCCTAGCCTATATAAACCATGCCCAGGTAACATAAGGGCTAAAAAGAAGTAATTTCCTTTGTAAACCTACCTTTTTTTCTTTTTTTTTCTTTTTTTTTTAATTAGGGAAATGAAATTAAAAACATAATTTATTTTCTATAATGCAGCTTACAAAATGCATATTTTTGATTATGCTGTAAGATAGACAGGAAAGTTCGCTATTCTAATTGCTGCCACTGCTTAGGTATTCAGACTGAAGATTTTGAGGCACACTATGATCAAAAGCAATGCCTGGTGGTGTCAAAGGAGAGATTATCCCATGTTTCAGTTGGCTTCAGATAAAGACCATCTTTGTTTACTGACCTACACTGTAAAAAGATTTGAAGTAACAGACATATAATATGAATTCAAATTAATGTTATTTAAAACATCATTGTATACAGCAAACTGCATCTGGTGCTAACAGAGCAATGGTTCAGCTACAAAATTGCTAAGTTAAATTCTCATCAAAATCTTGTGTCTGAATGTATTTTGTGTCTATCACTGTATTATCTTCTTTGTTTAAATCCACTTCTCATCACAGATCTATGATTCCAAGCTCCATCTAAAAATATAAGTCTTGTGCAGCCTTTACTTTGGAATTCTTAGGAAGTAGAGCTGTTTGAAAGTTCTTAAAACAATATATTCAAAAGAAATTTTTTTTTTTTTTTGGTGAGGCTGATTTTTTTGATTTTTCTCCTCCTGCTCCCAAGAGTGATCTGCAAAATTGAGATATTTTATCTAGGATTAAAAATACTTTAGAGAGAATATTAATTTTAAGGTAGAATATCAGTGCCTCTTTTGAGAAGCTTCCTACTCATTTTTCATCTTTATAAATGCTCAACCACCTTGTAAAACTGTTCTGAAAAGTGTACTTTTTTGTGATGATGATGATGATTAATAGAAATGAGAACAGGTTTGCCCCTTTTTCCAAAAAGATCCTAAACTGCTCTCCTACTCAAGCAGGTTCCTACTCCTGGATCTTACATAAGGATCCACATTTTGGATACAGAAAATTAGAAGTTCACTTCCTCATTTCTTGTATAGACACGTAAACAAAAATATTGAATATTCCCACTATTTTTTTGTCAATGTATGTTATTTGAAGCTATATCTCTTTTAACAAAATACTACTTTGGTCAAAAGAAGTGGGGACACATGTAAATATAAATGGTCTTTTTGTAGACTGTGACTATTAAGTAACCTCAAAACCTTTTTCTGCTGATGACTGTGATAGTTAAACATGTTCTGTCCTCCAGAAATTTCTGCAACATAGGTTTTATTTTCATCAAAATATTTCAGAACACCGAAGTATTCTAATAGGAAATGACATTCTGGATAAATTTATCTCCCTAGGGAGCACATCAGTTCCCATTTCAGCAAAGACACAAGCACATGAATCACAGATATGAAATCCTTCTGCCTTCAGTCTACTCCTAAGCTCACAAGACATGGGATCCCTGCACTTTTCATGCTGCCTTTATAACATGTTGTAGACCCAGAAAGATCTCTTAGCACAGGATCATTCCACTCTCCTTCCTCTGTTCTGTCATTTACTCACGCTGGAAACTAGAGTTTCTCAATTTAGGAGTGAGGAGTAGTGGAGAAAGCTGTGGGAAGAACTGGGGCATATCTGACTCTGTTGGAATCATGCTCTTCCCAGCCTTCCTTCTGGATTCATTGCTGAACTCTATGGATGCCTTGAGGGCATTGAAGGGCTGCAGTTCAGTTCAGTTCAACAGTGATGTGGGAAATGGATTTGTAGAGACAAAGCCCAAGTTCTGGACCATGGCAAGTGAGGACCTGAGAGAGATTGTTTTACAAAGACAGAACTGATCAAAAAGCTTTTTCTTTCATGTCTCAAAAAGAAATAAAACTGAAGTAAGGGAAGTGGAAGTGGAAAAGACAGAAAAGTAAGAAATGATGCGTCAGTGGATGATAGGAGAGGTTACAGAAAGGGGGCAGAGGCAATCACCCGGATCAGCAGCCAAAAGTCTGAGGAACTATCAATGTAGAAGTGCATCCAGTAGTGTGCAGTAAAGCAAGAAATGCCCATTTTCACTGCAGTTAATTTATTAAACAAATATCTCTCAATATAATTTGACATCAGTCTTACTTCTCTAAATGTGTATAAATGCATAACTTATTTCATGGGATCATTAATGATCACAGCAGTGAACAGCTGTCTGGTTACAAATTTACTGTAATGCTTAAACCCCTACATACTGGAATTCCTTTTTTTCTGGGTTGTTTGGGTTTTTTTTTTTTGTTGTTGTTGTTTTTTTTTTGTTTGTTTTGGTTTTTTTTTTTGTGGTTTCTTTGTTTTTTGTTTTTGTTTTTTGGTTTTTTTTTAATAATCAAGGAACTGAAAAGAGAAATAAATCTTGTGCTCTTTCATTAACTTGATCTTGAAGAATTGACTTACCAGTGATCCTTGCATCATATTTCAACAGCTAGTAAGTCTTACAACACTTAAAATATTTTAAAAATCCCAAACAAACAAAAACCAGAAAGACTAATTATTTTGCAGTCAAACCTGACACAGTGCATAATAGATAATACTGTTTCACCAACTTCCTTTGCAGTTCTTTTTCTCTTAGAACTGGCATCTTTTGTGGAACATAAGAGTGTTTACAAGAGACAAAATGTTCTGCGAACTGAAAAGAAGTCAGCAAAAGTGACTCTAGGAAAGGTAAAATAAGAATACCTAATTGTATTTAAACATGCAGATGTATTTTTGCATAAAACTGTGCTGCCTCTTAATTCTTCTTATAAAAAATACATGGGCATTTGACATATGTTAATACAAGAAAATAATTCTTATTCCAGGGGTTATTTGTTTTGAGTAAACCTTAGCCAGAAGGTATTTCTGAGGCCAATCATGAAAGCAGAATTTTTAAATACTTACAGGTTGTTATTTCTAATACGAAAATCCACAGCTAGTAATTTTTATTCAGAGAATACATATAAAGAATAAAATCTCCATTTCTAAGAGCTTGGGTAAGCACAATTCTTTGTTCATTCATATGCTGAGTGCAGACTGCAAGTCAGTATTTAGCAGGGCTGCAGCAGGCAGTGCATGCCTGACCACACTCTCCTATTTTTTCACCCTTCTAATAGCATTGGAGAGTCAAAAAAGCAGTGAAAAGAGAAGGGCATGTATTGAGGAATTTGTTATGCAGGATGCACGCAGGCTTCACACCATTTAGCCATAGAGATGAGCCCTAACCCAACAGTTATCTCTGTGCACTGCTGTATTTACAGGATTGCAAACTGAGAGCAGAATTGAGCCGAGGAATCTTTTTTCAGAATCATGGGGCTTTTTGTCTGTAGGAAGGCAAGCTGATGCTGTTAAGAGGCAGAAACTGTTAAGAGATCTGGGTTCATAATTAAAGATTTCTGATGTAACTCTTTCAAATTAGTTATGAACTCTCATTTTTCACTGTTGATACCAAGGATGATAAGAGGAATGCTCATCTTATTCAGCTGAAGTGTTTAATCTTCCATAACTGTGATGTGCTTTGAGGTGGCAGTACTGAATGTCACAAGAAACAGCTATGAGGAACTAGCATTATGTACTTTGATTGAAGATAGTCAGATACCTGAACTGAAAAACTGAAAAAAAAAATTTAAAGTAACCTTAGAACAGATCAATTGTTCCGCTGCAGTGTGATCTCTCAGTGCAGAATTATGCTGAAGTTAGCTTTGTAAAAGCTTTGGTAGAGGTCGCTTAAGAGCTATTTTTCAGCCAGCTACATCAGACAGTGAGTGTTTATTTTCTATTTATTTAATTGCCCATTTCAGCTGAGGAGTAGTTTGTTCTTCTTCCAAGTACTCTCCTTCTGACCTAATGATGTTTCCGAAGCAGCAGCCTTCAATAGCGAGGCCTGTGTCAGGCCCAAGTGGATTTGGTTAAATTTCTACCTCGTGTCTTCAGTGTGGAGTCAAAGGACAGCAGGAAAAGCAGGGCAAGTAACACTTTACAGAGTGAGGAGGCTGAGGGCCGAGATGACCCCCGCCACAGCTACGTTTAATACCATGCCATGAAAGCACGTAATTGATGACGGGACAGGTACCAGTGCCACGTTTTGCTGGCAGCCACACACCCAGCTCGGGCCTTGGGCAGCCGTGCCCCCGGAGCGGCGGGAAAAGCGCCAATTTCCTTCCGTTCGGGCCAGCTCGGCTGCGGGCGAGCCCCGCCCCGCCCCAGCGTCGCCCCTCGGGCCGAGCAGCTGCGGTCCCCGATCCGCGTCGGTGTCGGGGCCGTGTGGGGCCGTGTGGGGCCGTGTCGGGGACATGTCGCGACACAGGCGGGTCCCGCGGCGGCAGCCCGGCGGGGCTGCGGAGGACGGGGCTGCCGCCGCCGCGCTGCGCGCCCGGGCCGAGCCCCTCAGGGAGGCCGGCGTGGACGAGGAGGTGGAAATGGCGGTGCAGCTGGCCCTGGAGCGGTTCCAGAGCGGGGACGAGGCGGGTGCGCGGCACGGCCCGGCCCGGGGGCAGCCTGCGGGGAGGGCGCTGGCAGCGGTCAGGGAGGGGATCCTGCCCCTCTGCCCGGCCCCGGTGAGGCACAGCTGGGGTGCTGTGTCCAGCTCTGGGCTTCCCAGCACGGAGACAGGCAGCTAATAGAGCGGGTCCAGCAGAGACCACTGAGATGAGAGGTCTGGAGCATCTCTTATCAGGAAAGGTGTGGGGGTTGGTCCTGTTTCGCCCAGAGGAGACTGAGAGGGGATCTCACTACTGCATATGAATATCTCCAAGATGAGTCCCAGGAAGGTGGTGCAGCCAGTTTGGTGACAGGACAAGGAGCAATGGCCATAAATTAAAACAGAAGAAGTTCCACCTGAACATGAGGGAGAACTTCTTTCCTTTGAGAGTGGCAGAGCACTGAAACTGCTGCCCAGGGAAAGCGTTGAATTTCCCTCTCTGGAGACATCCCAAACCCTAGATGTGTTCCTCTGTCACCTGCTCCAGGTGACCCTGCAGGGGGGTTGCACTGGGTGGTCTCCCTTCCAATCCCAACAATTCTGTGGTTCTGTAACATTGAGATGTCAAGATTACTGCCTGTTGCATTGTTACTGTCTTTTCATTATTATTTATCATTCTAGAGATGGAATTTCCTTCTAGTTTCACTAGTACTGAAAGAGCATTTGTTCACCGGCTCTGTCAGTCTCTTGGACTGGTGTCTAAAAGCAAAGGGTGAGTCAGGGTACAATTTTCAGTTCTTTGGTGCAGACGGATAGAATTTCAAGACTAATGATAACTTGTTTGATGTTTTCAACATACTCAACTGTGTTGCAAGGAATAGTATTAGAGAAAAAAGTGTAAAAGTAGCTACAGAAATGAGCATATTTGTTCATTGCTGTATGCATGCTTGGAAAAGCTTGTGACATGCATTTTGGGACAGCTTGATTTTATACTTTGTGGGTTTAATGGCTCCATTAAAAAAGCTTCTCACTGTGATTTCTGTTTTTTTTTTTCCCAAAGAATTTGCATAGCGTCTCATACCCTGACAGATAAAAGTTAACCTAGAGTAGGTTCCTTTTTACTAAAATAAGTTTTCTCTCCCCCCTGACAGAAAAGGAGCCAATCGATACCTGACTGTAAGGAAGAAGGATGTGTCAGAGGCACACGCAGTCATGACTTGTGACTTGGCTCTCCGTACGAAACACGCCGTTCGGAGTCTAATTCAGCGCTTTCCCGTCACAAATAAGGAACGCAAGGAGCTCCTGCCAAGGACAGAGCGAGGAAGTGTCTGTGCTATTGCATCTGGTACGTTCAGCATGTGTTCTGATTTGGACTTGTCCATCAACACCACTTGAAACCATGACAAAACAAACCTCTTTCTGCTCTGTCCCCTCTGGTGTCCTAACAGACACCTTCAAACAAATGCATTAATTTTCCTTACTTTTAAGGTCTTTTATAACTGGTGCTGTGAGGAACTTGGGAAGTCATATTATGCACATTGAGATGTCCACCTTGTGTTGTGTTAATTTAGAATCTTTGAGCCAGTTCCAGCCAAATCTTTTTGGAAGTACATTTTGAAGTGTGGCTTCACACAAGTACTATGAGGTGGGGTTGAAGAGTCAGTGTTATTGTGATGCCATAAGAATGCCTATATGAGAAAATGCGTTTTTTGTTCTGCTTATAGAAATTAATGTCCTTGATAAATCAAGAATTTTAGTTTTTATTTCTTCATCTCTACAAAATAGATTTGGTCCTTAAGAGACTACTGTCCAGACTTGTTGATTTCTCGAATATGGAAGAGTTCGCTGAAAGACAAACTTCTGTCAAAATGTTGGTTTTTTTTTTTTAAAGCAAGGTTTTCATCTAGATTATTGCTTTAGCAGCTACAAGTGGAAGAGTTGCACTGTGTTTTTGTGTGCAGAGATGGGTGTAGTGAACAGAAAACATTTGTACCAGTATGCCTTGTTTAATTGCATGTTTCTGATACGTGGTGTCTGTTCTTGAAGTGCTTTCTTTGCTGTTATTTTCAATTGTTCTAGTTGTTTAATAGGATTGTTATATGAACAGAGGGAAGCTGTAATAAAAGTACTGAAATGCAATGTCTTAGGAATGTAAGGGATAAGTTAATGAACGGTCTAATGTTTGCCTTTCTCTGCATCTCAAGAATGTATTTTAGTTCTCCTGATCTCTTAGTCTGTTTGTCTTGGTACAACAAAGCTTGAAATTTAGTATATGAATCTGTTAATGGCATTAAATATGTATAACTGAGTTTACAGCGAGCTTTTCATTCTGCCAGAAAATAGTTCTCAAGGAATTATAGAGTGGCACTTGCAATGATGGATGTGAAGTGGCTCCCTCAGAAGATGTGCCCGTTTTTTGGCTGCTCATGCACCGCTTTCTAACACATCGCACTGCTGTGTGGGGGCCAGGGCTCTTGATACAGCATGCTTGCATTGGTATGATTTCAGGCAAACGTGTGGAATAGCTTAAAGGTTTAACTCTGTCAGTGTGTATTTCTAGGGGGAACTGCAGGTGTGAAATGTGGGCGCAGATACAAAGGCCACCAAAATACACCAGGCTGGTATTCTCTGGTTTAGTTTGTTTCTCCTTTTGCTCTTTGTAGGCTTTTTTGACGTGGAGCAATGCTGTGGAAGAGTCTGGTTTTCTTCAAAATACCCATGAAAGTAATAAGTGTTTTGAAAAATATCTATTCCAAGCACTGCAGGACATGCTATAAAAATGATGTCTAAATGTGTGATGGGTTTGTCACTTTACCCACAGGGATGCATAAAAAGTCAGCAATGTTAATTTTTAAGTACAGTTTTTGAGCAGTGTTTTTGTGACCTTCCTCTGTGTCTGCATAAATAAACTTTTAACTTGTCTTCACAGAAAACAAAGAAGTAAACAAGACAAGTGGTCGACTTAATGATGGTATCCCCCAGGTCCCAGTGAAAAGAGGGGAATCAGAGTTTGATTCCTTCAGGCAGTCACTACCAGTTCTTGAAAAACAGGAAGAAATTGTCCAAATCATAAAGGACAATAAAATTGTTTTAGTTATAGGAGAGACTGGATCAGGAAAAACGACGCAGGTATGTTGCTTCAATGAAATAAAAACTATAACAGTATTTATTCTAAACTAATGCCAATTGTGTAACATTTGTGATATGGGATACTTTTATGCTCTTTTAAGGCTTTCCTTTTCCTGTGTGATTGAAAATGTTGTTCCAATTCATTGTCTTGCTTTTGAAACACTAGGCCTCTAGATAGGTACTAGAAGCATAAATGATTCCTCACAATTTTCTGGTAGATACCATTTTTTCATTAAAATAATACAAAATATTGAAGGGAAAATAGCTGTGATGTTTGTATATCCCTTTTTCTTCTAAGGCTAGTTCTGTTCTTAGCATCCAGAGTAATCTATTTTTTGTGTAAAAATGAGAGATTATCTACAGGGCTTTTTTTTGTTTTTTGCTTCTTTTTTTTTTTTTTTTGGATTTCTCTGAAGCAGGAGGGAGGCACTGTAAGGTTTTTTTTAAAAAAAAACCTAAATAGGTTATACTTAGAAATTTATTTTCTGCTGATTCAGATATGCTTGCTGTGATAATTGTAATGAAAAGTCTTTTGCAATGTGCAATATTGATATGCAGTTAATGGTTTCCCTGTGCTAACAAAGCTGTGACTTTCTCAAAAAGCAAATTTGAACCACTTCTTTACAGATCCCTCAATTTATCCTTGATGACTGCTACAAGAATGGAACTCCCTGTCGTGTGTTTTGTACTCAGCCAAGACGTTTAGCAGCTGTTGCTGTGGCTGAAAGAGTGGCAGCAGAAAGAAGAGAGAAGATTGGCCAGACAATTGGTTACCAGATCCGGTTAGAAAGCAGGTACTAATGGTATTTCTAAGTGTCGGTTGATCTTGTGTTGGTCTTGTGAATCTTGTGTACGTTGAAACTGCAGTATGTTTGGGTTGCAGCCTCACAGGTGGCATATGTTACTGCAGGTAAGGAATACGTAAGAGTGAAAAGGATGGCTTACTTCCTGTGTTTTGCAGTTTCATGTAGAAGGTTGTCTTACAGAACTGAATCTCAGGTATTTTCTGTTGATTTCTTCTGTGGAGTGTATGCATGGAAATCCTTGTCTGATTTTCAGATCAAGTCTACACTTTCTTCTTCCCCACCCCCCCACCCCTTCTGCTTTTAACATGTGCGGATCCAAAAGGTCTGCAAGCTTTGAAGGTAGGTGTGAAAACCAGCATGCTGTAACGAATGTTATGTAGTGAGAGTTGATAGGAGCCATAAAAGGGAAAACAAAAAAATTGGAATGTGACTGATGAAGCTGAGCATTATTTACCAGTCTAGTCTGGACTAAATTTACTCTTCTTCAGCTTCTGTGTTTAAAACATGAAGTGATGTAAAAGTAGAGATTTCAGTATCACTTGATGAATTTGTCTGTAAGCAGAGCATGAATGGATTGTTTGGGGTTTTTACATCTTTGCACCGTGTAGCGAAATGACATTTCAGGGAAGGGCCAGCAGTTGAGATATGAGTGACCAGAAGATGGCTAAAGGTTGTGTTGCTTGAGTGAACAAAGATAACACATAGCTGGTGAAAATGAATGCACTTGAACAACGAAGCCACAATAAGAATTCAAATGTGTGCATGAAAGCTCACAAGGATATTGAGAGATTAGAAGAG